AAGTTGCTAAAAGAAAGATCATTTACTTAAGCTAGAAAATGTTTGAAGTAAGAATTAGGTTAGAGAGAGAGATGCACGCTCTCTGCATGGAGAAGAAACACTTCTATTTATACCCAGTGCATTAAATGTCCATTTAATGCAATTTAGAGTGCATGTCAAGCCTTAAGAGGAAGGCTTGTCCTTTGCTATAGTGAATAGTACAAAAGCACTATTCATGAGCAGACATCCTTACCTGAAGTTGGTGGACAAAGAGTCGACTAGTCGGCTCCGTACCGTACTAACATTCGTAAGGGTATGGGTTTTGTCCTTTGTGTGCATAAGGACAAGACAACAACAATCATGCTAAGCAAGCTTCCTTTGATCGCTGAATGCTGGAATGACCTGAAGGTGTCATCATCATTCGCTGAAGCTTGAGCAGTCTTCACACATATGTAGACATGCTTGTAATCACTGAATACCGCTTCAGATCACGTACTCGCCGGTCTTTAATCTTCAGTTTCAGTCTTCAACGTTTGCTGAAGGTTCTTTGGTGTGAGTGTTGTCTTCTTGAAGTGTTGCTGTCTTTGATAGATTTACAATGCAAGTTCTTCAGCAATCACTGAACATACTCAGTGAAGATCGTTGGAACTGAAAATACAGAAACATAAATACAACGTATAAGTGAAAAGGGATTATCATCAAATCACTGAGAGAGATGATCAACAATCTCCCCTATTTGATGATAACAAGATAACATAAAGAAGGTTATCTTATCAAATAATAGTAAAGAAAAAGTTACATATAAAAATACATGTCCTTTTTTACTATTTTGTAATCTTTTTCAGTTTGGCCAGTCTCAGCTTGATAATTATTCTTAAGTTATATCTAAGAAAATTATAAGTACGAAAACTGAAACTGAAAGCTTATTCACTAACTTATAGATTGTCAGTGAATGCGAAAAGTAACACTGGAACTCATAGACTTGTGTCCCTATTACTTTTTTCAAGGATCTTTTTCAGTAAAGTACATGGAATACTCGTTTTATTAATCATAGGAAATATTACAAGTATTACAGTACATGTTCAGAACTTACAGAATATAAGTAAAATCATTGAAAGTAGACATAGTACATGAAGTTATAAGGAAAAGTGGATTGTTGTTACAAAGAGAAACTAATCTAGAGATCTTAGATCTATGTACCCAGGTACACTTTCACCAAGTTTTCTTCGACGTAGGAATTCCCTTCGTATCTTCAGATCTACGACTTTTCCAGGCATTCTATCATCTATCCAGAGCAAAAGATAAACCAAATGATCCAT